CCTGCCTCAAGTCTTCTCAGGAATAAGAGATAGGGAATGTTATACAGCAGTAGATAGCTGAGGTGCAAGGTTCACATATACAGATTCCCTGGCTAAATGCTACTAAATTAAGATGTCTGTGACAGGTCCTGGGAATATGTATTTTTAAGTAAATTTCTCAGGTGGTTCTGGTGCAGCTAACCTGGGCCAACATTTGGGGCCAACTAAATAGGACCCTTAAAGTAAAGATCAACACAGATAGTTGACAGATAACGTCAAAAATCACTAGTGAACAACTTCTGAGTTATTTTTTTGCCAATAAGTAAGAAGCACCTTTTGTACCTGACTTAAAGTGCCTTTTACCAAAAAAATTACTATTGGGACTCTTTGGTCAGAGAACATTCCTACATTTTAGATAATTTAGTTTTTATACAAAATTAAGATAAAGCAAGACACTTGGAGTTTCCAAATGTTTATTTCATTTATTTCACCACATTTATTTATACAGTGAAAATTGAAAGATAACACACACCAAAGTAAAGATAAAATCCTATGACAGAGGTAACTGTATGTAATGACATGAATGTTCATTTACAGTTGGTGCATAAAGAGCAAAGCTAGCTGGCACTAAACTATAGAATGAAAGTCTTTTTGAGAGGCTGTGGAAGAGGTAGGTAAGGGGAATGATTGAGGAGTCAAATATAAAAGTCTTTGTATGCCCAGTGCTAATGCTTTCTCTTCCTGAAATCTAGTGGGAACCAACAAGCCAGCAGAAAAAAATCAGATATTTAGTAAATACACTGCTGGGATACACTGTCTCAATGTATTAGCATTTACTAAGCTGTAAGATCTTTGACAGCTGGAATATTAAATTCTATACAACCTATCTTACCTTTCTCCTATCCTCTATTACCCCCCTCATATTCCTTGGGGTTATCCAGACATTTTTGCCAAGAGCCTTGTTTATATGCAAGAGAGAGAATCCCAGTAGACATAACAAATCACAAGAAATTACCTGTTCTTTCCTACTGTTCATCCTTGCTCATGTAGGATAAATGTCCTGAGACCTTGCAGAATCTTAGGAGGTTGAGTTGTTTGGCACGCTGGGTTCCGGTCTTTTCCCTGCTTCCACCTAGCCATGAAATCTTTAGCCTTTCATCCTTCATCTGTTACTTAAAGAGGACTAAATTATTCCTTCTGGCTATGATGTTCTACAGTTCTGACCAAATAGAAATAACATATTTAAAAGTGCTTTGTAAATATTCTTTATGATCCTCAAGGTGATACTGCACTGCAAAAAAAGTAATCTAAGGCCATACCAAAAAATGTATTCAATGTAGCTGGTTGTCTTTTCTTAGTATCACTTTTCCCATATTCATTTTGGAGACCTGAAATGAAGTTCAACTATAAATTTACTCTAAAATTTGTGAAGCAGGGTGAAAAGGCCTTTGCTTTGTTTTGCATTTAAATTCAGTTTTCTCTTCGTACTAGTGCTTACTTTTTCATGCTGAAAGACAGAACAATTCCCTTCTGCAATCTGCAGTATGTCTGTCTGACCTCACAGAAATGTCTTCACACTTTTACCTAGCAGGATCACCAGAGGCTCTGGCACACTTGCAGTCCCTGGCCCAACACTGAAGTCCTGCTGGAATCTGTGCTCCGGGGGCTGTGCCGGGTAGAGAGGGCAGTGGGAGGTAAGAGCTCTTCACCCTTCACCACCTTCTCCACCCAGCATGGCCGGCACACTTTGGTCTACGGCACATCTCCAAGTAGAGAGTGGGTTTTGAATGCTGTCATTTCTCACCTTGGGGATGGGGCTACCCTGATGTGGACTGTTTGGGGTACATGTAAGTGACTTTTTTATTAGAGTGGGAACTGTTACAAGTAAACATGTCTTATTTTATATTGCTTTTAAGACTGAATTTTTGTACTTCTTTTATCCATCCTTTTTATCCACAGAAACATAAAGGCACATTTCCAATTATATTGTATTTTTTCCATTTTTTATTGTGATAAAATATACATAACATAAAATTTACCATTTTTAATATTTTTAAGCATATAGTTCAGGGATATTAAGTATGTTCACATTGTTGTACAACTATCACCACCGTCCATCTCCAGAATTTTTTTCATTTTCCCAAACTGAAACTCTGTACCTAATAAACAATAACTCCCCATTCCCTTCTCCTCCCAGCCCCTGGTAGCCATCATTCTACTTTTCTGTCTTTATAAATTTGACTACTTTAGATACCTCATAAAAGTGGAATCATATAGTATTTGTCCTTTTGTGTCAGTCATGTTGTATTTTTGTTAAAAAAGATAGAAAAGCAACTGTCATCAGATTTACCTGAAATGGAACCTAATTTACATTTGGCTTACTGTCATCAGTGTCTAATCATGCAATGCAAGGGAAGTACCTTTTGGTTTTTGCCCTCTAAGGATATGAACAGGAAAGTATAGCTTCAACAACAAACTTAAAGCTATTTATATTTTTATTTTATGCTAATTTCACATTCCATTTGAAACTGATTTGTATTCCGTCTGGAAATGATATTATTAAATATCTGTGATTTAGAGATGGCGCAATTAAAAAATAACCAAGACTTTGGTTGGGAGTAAGAGGAGCTTAGGAGAATGAGAAAATTGACTTTGGCTTTATAGTGTATGGTGGGCTGTTGGTAGCATGGTGCACATAGAAAGACCACTGGCTTGGTTTCGGAAGACCTGTTTTGGAGTTCTGGTTCTGCTACTTCCTAGCAGTATGATTTTGATGAAGACTCTCCACCTCCCTGGGCCTAGTCTAATCTATAAATTGCTAGTGATGGGCATGGAATATTTTTAAGTTTCTTCCAGCTTTATCATTCTAAGAATTAAGATTGCAGTTCATGAAAATAGGGTTGAATATTTGTTTCTGACCTACCTTGTTACAAAAAAGGATTTTTGATGACTTATAAAATTCAGCAGTATAGTATAAATTTGAAGTGAAGCAACAGAAGACAAAGCAGAATGAATGTGTGGCTTAATTTTGGTTTTAAGCTTTCTAGCAGCTATTTTATGCAAAGAGAACTTTTGATGCACACAATCACAATGTCCATGGGATAAAAATATGCCAGTTGTGTAAAAGTAGCACGCTTTGTCTCTACCCCTAATGGTGTAGGCTTTGAGAACCATCTTGGGCCTGACAGACAGTTAAGCTGGGGTAAGGATTAATGTCTTTTGGGGAAGCTTATCCTGACCATTTGAGGTAAAGTCCTTTTACCTTTACTCAGAGGAGAGCCCAGTGTTGGCTAAGAGTTTCGGAAGATTATTTGACTTTGTTCTAAGGTACAGGTGAATGGATGACAGAGGCTCCAGAGTTTTATTCTATGTTGACTCGCCAGAAGAGTTTTAGCTTGAAACATTTTAAGGTGAATAACCAGATCCTAACCTCAGTAAAGCAGCTGTAGATCACATTACTTTAAGCTTTGCTATTTCCCTATCCAGCCTCCAAAATAAACATTTTGCAGAATGTTCATACAAGGTACTTTGTGTGAATTTGTTTATAAATCAGTTAAAAGTTGGACTGTCTACCAGAGAAAAAGAAAAGAACTAAAATACAACCCTGTTTTATTCTGCTAGAGATTGTTACACCAGAAGACCTGTCCCACTGGCTCTGTTTTCACACTAGTACCATAGGGCAGGTTCTGTATGAACATCACTAACCAAGGATTCTGGGCTAGCCTTTTATCTTTTGGCCCACTGCCAATTCCTGCCTAGAGGCAAAGATCAAGGAAAAGTTAATAAAAGAAGCAAACAGTCTGGTATGGCTGGGGGGAGGTGGGGCTGCTCTGTTTGAATATGGGATAAATGGGATAAATTTGAGGCCTTAATAGACAAGATCATAGCTGTAGTGAAGATTCTTAACCTGGGACTTCAGAGCTTCAAAGATAGAAGTGTATTTAGTATGTTGCTTTCCTTTGTAATTCTCTGAATTTTACTTTATGCATTTTTAAATAACCTGAGAAGAGGTCCATAGGTTTCATCAAACTGCCAGAGGGATCTATAATACGAAAAAAGACTCAGAACCACTGTATATTTAATTAAAGCAAACAGGTTAGTGATGGTTGGAGCATGCCGTTTAGAATAGTCCCTGAAGAGCTCTTGGATGCAAGAAGTCTTGCCCAGGTTTTTTCTTTGGCTTGTCTTTTAATCGGCAGTAAGCAGAGTAGTTTCCCTTATTTCTCTGGTAATTTTCCCAAGTCGGTTTCTTTTCAGGGAGTCAGAAAGACTATTAAATGAATCCAATTTTAACAGCTGCAAATTTATTCTTCAGTGTATTTCAAGCTCATATGGCTCTGTAGTATCAATATTGCTAGTAGCAGCCTAAGTGTGAATGTGTGTTTCTGGCAAGGAGCAGATTTTCATTTTAATTGACACTTTCTTTTATATACTAAATCTTGGATGCCAAGAGCTTTCCTCACTAGTAGTTGTAAATGCTAAAGCTGTTCTTGACTTCACCACCTCCTGTCAAGATAAATGCAAGCTTCATTTCCACTCAAAGGAGTCCAAAGGAATAATTTACTTGTTGGCCTGTTTGGGGAGATGTTGTTTTCAGACAGGCATCACATGGACCCAACTGCAAAGATTTTCAGTGACTAAAGCAAGATCAGCTGCCTTTTTGTTCTCCTGAAATGTGTAGCAGTTGAAATGAGAATTTTAGGATTGCTCACTTATTCTAGATTCTGTGATAGAGAAGTGGTAGCAATAAAATCATTAATGCTCCCAGCGAGAGTGTGTTGATGTCCTCAAGCTTATTCAGAAAGTGTCTCGTAGAGCTGAGAAACAGATACTTACAGAGATAAAGGAAACTCAGTCTTTTTGGTAGCTTGGGGAAGAGAGTGATAATCTGTGCTTAATAAAGATGATCATTTTTGGATTTGTGCCTTAGAAACTAACAAATCACATATTCTATCTGGTGATCCAGGTCTCTGAGCTAAGGCACATAGAGGTCTGTTAATAAAAAGGGGTGGTAGGTTTATTGAGGTTTTGTTTTTAATTGTTTTTTGCAGACTGTAGGGAAAATTAACTGTTTTGCTTGGGATAGTTCATCTAAAAGCATGGTGTTGAATTTCATAAATGGCAGCTTTTATATAGGATTTCTTTCTGTGACTCTAACCACACAGCTTTTACATGCCTTCCCTTTAGTTATGTTTGTGATCATCAGAATAACTGTGAAGTAGTAGGGAAGTTACCTTCATTTTATAGATGAGGGACTCAAGGCTCAGAGAAATGAAATATTGACATTATTATAGTAAGTAGCAGAACCAGTACTGGAACCTGGGTCTTCTGACCCCTGGCCAGTGCTCGTTAAACTGCACTAACTATCCCATTTTGAAAAGAACGTATGAGCCACAGTGGCAATCATGCATACTCCATCTCCAAGGGAGAATGAATTCGTTCTTCATGTCGTGGTATATTGACCTATAATTTTCTGCTTGAAATTACCCAGATTCCAAGCCTGTGTATAGAATGTATACTTGAGGAATGGTGAGGATTAGAAGAGTCCACAGTCCTTGAGGTTTTCTTTGATGATAATATCTGTAACTGCGTCAAATACAAATTTGACGTTCTGCGTGTCTGTAGCACAGGTCATGTGGCTGTAGATTTCTTTGACATCTTTTCTCATGTTGAGGTCAAGGAACTGACTCTTGATATAGTTCCCTGCATCCTCATAAGAGTTGTTCCCTAGTTTTCCGGAAAAATAGTGAAGAAGTGAGATAAATGAACCCTTCTTAGTTGCTCACTTACTCTTTAGGTGACTGACTTGATACTCAAAGTATTGTGTTAGCTGCCTTTGGGGGCCTATTTTTGGAGGGAAAGTCCTCACCTCTATTGCACTCCAGTGCTTCTCACTTGAGTTGAGCAAAGAAATTGAGGCGAGGGGCCGGCCCTGTGGCCGAGTGGTTAAGTTTGCGCGGTCTGCTTTGGCAGCCCAGGGTTTCTCCGGTTCAGATCCTGGGCGCAGACATGGCACCGCTCATCAAGCCATGCTGGGGTGGCGTCCCACATGCCACAACTGGAAGGACCCACAACTAAAAATACACAACTATATACTGGGGGTCTTTGGGGAGAAAAAGGAAAAATAAAATCTTTAAAAAAAAAAAAAGAAAAAAGAAATTGAGGAGAAAGATGTCTCTTATGTCCCCGCCCTTGGTTTCTAGTAGGTATCATTAGAACAGTCAGTGGCTCTCCTGCATGTAGCGTCTGTTCTATTCCAGAGATATCTGCATTTAAACCTATAACTGAATGCCCAGGTTTCTCAGATCAGACATCCAAGAATCACTTGGACATCACAAAGCTCATAAGAGGAACTGAGTATCGAAGGGATAGGGGATCATCAACTCAGGAAAGCAAAGGAGTTACACTTAGTACTCCTTAAAGACAAGTTCCTGTATGTCTCCTTGTATAGGAAATAGGGCAATCACCAGTCATTACCAAGAAAGCATTACCATTGTTTCCAGCCCTGGACACTTACCGTCATATTCTGGAAAGCAAATGCTGAGATGGACTTTCTTGATTTTTTCCTCAAAGAGGTCCTTCTTGTTGAGAAAGAGGACAATGGAAGTAGCTGCAAAGAACTTGTGGTTGCATATGCTGTTGAACAGGTGCAAGGATTCATGCATACGATTCTAGTAAGAAGAAACACCATCAGAGATAGCAGATTGGGCTTATGGGGTATCTGTCTACTTCCTGTTTTTATTCCCTGTGGAGAGGCTAGTACTCCAAATGTAAAAGGAAAGACAGGGAACAGCTTCTCTCTCTCTAGTGCAGTAGAGTAGAGCCAAGGAGATCTGGCTTCCTTCTAATCCTCTTTCTATGATAGCTGTGTGACTTGGGGGAAGTTATTGAGCTTTTCTGAGTCTCAGTTTCCCTATCTCACAGGGCTATTATGAAAGTTAAATGAGATCATGTATGTATAGTGTCCTTGATAGTGGCTGGCATATAGTTGTACAGTAAATGTTATGCATATCTTTGGCAGCCAGGGCAGAACTAAGGACTTTGACATCTGTAAGTGCCGCTGATACAGGGTTGAAACTGGGCCCAAGAAAGCATGTGCCCATTTGCATCTCCAGGATGATTTGATAGGCTTCTGTTACAGACTCCCAGATCTCAGTTTTGGCAGGAATGTAATAGGGATTCTTTGGCCCCATGGCGAGGGCTAGAGAATTTCCCAATGCCACATCACAAGCACTTCTGCTATATTTCCTTCTCTGATTGCCACTTGGAGCGAGTGAGAAGAGGTGCTATATAACTGCAGGGTCCAGAGGTTGCCCAGTGCCCCAGAGCAGCCTGTTTTTAGGGAGCAGGCCTTTTAGGGTCTCAAAGTATGCTATTAGCTGACTAGGGCTCAATTTTTTCATCTAATAAAGAAAGAAAACAAATCTAATTTGTAGCCTTTTCTCATTGCTAATACTCCTGGAAAACCCTTTAAGACCTTGTAGACTTCAGGGTAAAGATATAAGAGATCTTAGAAAATGAATGTCCCTGTGAGACATTTTGGCTAGAAGATACTTAGAGTTACTCTAATGTGAACTTGAATTACTAAGGAGAAGGGAGAAGAACTGGAGCAAGGGACAGGAGGATAGGAGCTTCATCTTCTATCAGTAAGCTCTGGGTCTCCATTTATGGAGCAGTTGCTTCTGTGAAATTAGCATTTTCCATCCCTTTGACATCCTCTTTCTCAAACTCAGAAGGTAACTGGCTGGGCTGACACTTGTCCCACAGAACTCCTGTCTTGTAAAACTACAAGCTCAAGAGAGTCACCCTCAGGTAGTCCTCCAGCTGCCAATTTAAATGGCATGTGAGAAACCTGGTTTACTAGTCTCTCTCCATAGTTCTTTTGACACTCAGTACATATTTAGGCTTCCAAGTTAGGTTAATAGTTCAACCCCTCTACCGTGTTGCATAAAGATACACATCATATGCTTTTTCTGCTTTATCATTTTCATCTCCTATCCTTTACTTCCATAGGCAGCCTGGGAGAGTACTCAGTATAACTCCTTTGCTGAGTTGATGATCCCTTGTCATTTTAATACTCAGTTCCTTTTATGAGCTTTGTGATATCCAAGTGATACTAAGCTCACTCTCAGTAAATCTGGAGCTTTAAAGTGCTAAACCTAGAAGCTGCAGAAGAGGTTTTTCTAGAATTATTTGCCTGAGACTGATCTGCTAGAGGACTGCTAGACTGTCTGTGTTAGCTGAAAACACCCAAGTTGAGGCACTGGAGTGAGACAAAGCCTAGAGGAAGGGTCATGGGGGAACTGTCTATCAAAGCTGCTTGGTGCAAAGGCCACTCACCACTTCGTCATCTTCCACCAGCACCATATCATAGGCACTGAGGGCTGCACAGAAAATGATGCAAGTGACCCCCTCAAAGCAGTGGATCCACTTCTTTCTCTCTGATCTCTGCCCTCCCACATCAAACATCCTGAGGAAAGAAAGAGCTGTTCTCATAGGTATGCCTGGCTTATGACCCACGTGCACTTAGTGTTTACCCATTTTGGGCCAGTTAGCAGTAAGATGGGAAGTGGGGAGGAAAAGGGGAGAAGTACAACAGTAATTCAGATTGAGCTTTAGTGGGGGCCAAGAAGCATCCCCATGCCCTCTTTTAGTATCTGAGCTGCCCCCAGGCAACCATGTGTGTATCTGTGGTGCCCCCAAGGGATCTATGTACTCACCTGAAGTTCAAGTCTTTGACAGAAAACTTGGTCTCAATGATGCCTGTGGTTTTGACTCTGGATCGTAGCACATCTTGCTCATTAGGGAGGTAGTCAGGGGCTGTAATTCGGTCTAATTGGTTCAGGTAGCTAGAAAAATAATTGCCATTGATGACAAATTTCCCACAGCCAAGGCCAAGAAAAGTCAATGTTCTTACCCCAAAATCATACAGCTAACTTGGTGGTAGAACCAGGACTAGAATGCATATTGTTAAATCTGGAATTCTTTCCTTCAAACCTTCTTATGTCCTTACAAAAGGAACTGTGGGATGGGCTGAGGGACTAGCCCATTTTAGGCAGGGGTTCTGCCCCTTTTAAGTCAAGTCAGATAACTTTTCCTTGTGTTTAACCTGACTACAGGTTTTCTAAACCCTTGAGTATGATTTGGTGATTTAAATGGGTGCCAGAATTTCCAACAAGAAGCAGGAGTAGATTAAAAGAGACTTTAGAGACATATGAGACATTAATCAGTACAATGCATGGACCTTGTTTATATTCCTGAGTCAAGGTGGAAAAACATCTGAGGTAATTGGGGAAAGTTGATGAACACTGACGTGGATATTTGATGACTTTAAGGAATTAGTAAATATTTAGGTGTGATGATTATGTTATGTTGTGATTTCTTTTTTTTAAAGTCATATTTTAGAGATACATAATGAAACTTTTAGGACAAAATGATATGATATCTGGGATTTACTTCAAAAGAATCCAGTAGGGAATGGAGGTAAAATGAAACAAGAGTGGCCATGAGTTGATAATAGTTGAAGCCAGGTGATTCATTCTATTATTCTACTTTTGTATATGTTTGACAGTTACCATAAAAAAGTGAAAAAAAAAAAAGGAAGGCAGATGTGAAGTGAGATGACTGAGAGGGAAGAAAAATTAACACAAGTGCCTCCTGTATGCCAGGCATTTTCACATTTAAATTCTCATACAACCTCATAAGCCTTCAGGTTTCATATCCCATTTTAAAGATGAAGGAAAATTCAGAAGAGTTAAATAACTTGCCCAGGGTCAAGAGGCATTTGTGATATATTGTAAAAAACATTCAACTTTGTGGTCAAATAGACCTGGATTCACATCTAGCCTCTGCCATTTATCTATGTGACTTTGGGTGAATTAATTAACTTCTCTGAACCTCAGTTTTTCATTTATAAATGGGACTAATAAAAAGTGACTACCTACCTTGAAAGCTTATTGTGCAGATTAAATGCGATGGTGTACGTAATGCACCCAGCAGTGCTTGGGCCTTAGTGAGTGAGTGTGTGCTCCCGGGATAGTAAATGATAACCTTATTACAAGATTAGGTGACAGAACAGGGGTTAAACCCAGGTCTGTTTGACTCCAAAGTTCATGCCCGTTTGTGATACCATGCTGTTTGAGATAGGACTGATAAACTCTGTGTATCTTATCTTTTTGGAATCAGCTTTGCAATGTTGGTTCTCTCTAACCCCTGACCAACTTCCTTTGGTTTGCCCTAGCAGTTTCTGTGTCCTGTGCCTTCCACCCTGACATAAGATGCTGTGTGAAGGAGACTTTCATTTCTGGTTAGTGGTCTAAGTAGTGTCTGGGTTACCAGGAGAAAATGCAGCCCTGAAGGGCCATCATGAATCACAAGCCTCATGGGAGAGTGTGTGGCAGAACTGCAGGGCTCTCAGTGTTCATGGTTCTGAAAGGAGAGGCTATGTGTGTGACATAATTAAGAGGACAGGGGCTGAGGGCTGCTAAACAGAGCACCTCTCTTGAATTTTGGGTCTTCAGCTTTGCAGGCTGTGGTGAGCCAGTGTAAAGCGATGGAGTGGTGGGAACTGTGGCAAATGTCCCTATGTAAAGGCGTTAAATTCAAAGCATAGTAAAACACTGCGCAAGCCTAACAAAACAGCTCTACAGGCTGAATTCAGTCATTGGGTCTCCAGCTTTCAGTGCCTGAAATTTTAGGCTGGATGTGATTTCTCTTAGAAGGTTGCTTATGCCTCATCCCACCCCTTTGCCAGTCAGTCTTACTAAGATGCCGAGTCATTGAGCTGGTACTCTGCAGCTCTGTCGAAGCAGGCTTGCACCCCACCATCCTTCCACAACTTCCTGATGACCTCCACCAGCTCAGGAGGCATGGTGCCCTCCTCAATGGAGTCAGCCAGGTTGTTGAGCTGTCGCCCATCATCCTGTAAGGAAGAAACCTGGCTGAGAACTACACAGGAGTAATGACTTTCCAGGAGCTTCTGGGAACACTACTGAAAGGCAAGCTTTTTGCATTGCTCCCAAAGCCTAAGGTGGAGACTGTCCAGTGAAGGGTCTGTCTAAGGAAACATACTGATGAATTTCTGAGTGTGCTTCTGTGATGTAAGGGTGGCAATATATACAGTCCTGTGATGCCTAGCAGATAGCAGAGGTCCCAGGCACTTCCTTTGTGGTGTTTCCATCTTCCTTCCTTAGTCCAAAAGTTTACTGCCTCAAAATTGGGTCCTCTGCTGCAGGGAGATTAGAAGTTTAAAGACCAGACTGACCATAGACTAGACAGGAACCCATCACCTTTGTTCTTTCAATGATTCAAATCTAGGAAAAGGCCAGTACTGGAACTAGGGATTTAGCTTATAAAAGTTCCATGGCCAGGGCAAGGAGCCCAATGGGAGCAATTGAAATGGTAAAATAAGACAAAAAGGCAGAGGAAGCTGAGAGCAGATTTCTGTAAACGTTTATTATAAAAGTAGGAATTGCATACTTCTCGAGAACTGAATTAAGAAGAGTTGAAGCTCAGTAGGTGGGATTTTGGTTACACAAAACTTTTTCTAACCCATGTTTCCTCATAGCTTGTTGGCCTCTGGTCTGTTTCTTCTCATTAGCCTTTCCTTCCACCGTTAACCACATACAGTTAACCACATACCGCACAGCTTGGTTCAGCATAGTCAATGCCCAGTGTGGACATGGCCCGGATGATAGCCAGGATAGACTGCAGCACATTCCCATAGATGATGGCCTTGTACTCCAGGCATTCTTCTGGCGAATAGCCATCTTGATGAATGATCCTGCAGGAGTAGACATCCGGCCCTTAGTTGGACCTGGGTAACCAGATCTAAGGGATTGGGAATTTGGGAGGATTTAAAGGGTCATAAGAACTTGGTCTCTCTATTCCTGCTGTTGTTCCAAAGTGGAGAGTGAGGGGCAAGGGGCATGCAGATGAAGGGCATTGGGAATCAGGTCCTTTATAGCCTTTATATCTGGGTTCCTTAAGGCTAACGAGCCCTTCATTCTCCGTGCCTCCACTTGCTCTACTGACCTCTTCACCCTACCTCAGTCCTTTGGGGTTTTGTTCCTACTCACTTCATCTGTTTGACGATAGTGCTCTTTCCTGACTCCCCAGCACCTGCAGGGAGAAATGCTTATGCTTCAGATTTCCACCAGTTCTCCCCAACCCTCCAGTAGATGGCCTGTGAGAAGACCAAGCCACTGCTTTCTTGGGAACCTTGTTAAGGGAGAACACGTAGGGTGATTGCTGTCCTTAGTTTCTGCCAACCTTGAGCTCCGGCTATTCAATCTGAATTTAGAGCAGAGTTTCTCAGCCTCTGCACTGTTGACATTTTGGGTTGGATGATTCTTTTTTGTGGGGGGCTGTCCTATGCATTATAGGGTGTCAATAGCACTCTACTCTTCTGGTTGTGACAACCAAAAATGTCTCCAGACATTTCTTTCTTTTTTTTTTTTTTAGGAAGATTAACCCTGAGCTAACTACTGCCAATCTTCCTCTTTTTGCTGAAGAAGACTGGCCCTGAGCTAACATCCATGCCCATCTTCCTCTATTTTATACGTGGGACACCTACCACAGCATGGCTTTTTGCCAAGCTGTGTCATGTCCGTACCTGGGATCCGAACCCGCGAACCCCGGGCTGCTGAGAAGCGGAACTGCGAACTTAACCGCTGCATCACTGCGCCGGCCCCTCCAGACATTTCTAAATGTGCTGTGTCTGTGCGTGTGTGTGCATGCGTATTCGCATGCACACACACGTGCAAAACCTCTTTGGGAACCACTGATAGATTCAGGGGAATTTCTTTGACATATTTTTCCTCTCTGCCCACTTTTACTCAGGAGAGTGATCTTGGGGCAGGACTGGGGAGAGCTGGATTACTTCACTGAAAACACTGTTTTTTCACCATCTTGCTGTTTCCTATATTGACTAGAATGTTCTGATATCCTCATGCACACTCTGCTCTCCCGCCCTCAAAAACCCACATACCCTTCAACCCTCTCCCCCAGTCTGTACTACCCCTGATGCCTTAACGCCGTCCCACTTAGCCTATGCTTGCTCCCTCTAAGCTGCTTATCCTGAATGTAGAAGAAAGCTGCTTAGGCTTAAAAGATCTCTCTGTGGCTTTGCCCTCTCCCTTTCCCCTTCTGTAACAGCCTCCTGGGCTTCTTGGAGTCTAGGTCTGGCTTACAGAAGTGTGTTCCTTTAGTGTGTCCTTTGGGCCAAGCCACAGATCAGCTGGGGAAAAGGAGGTGCCTTAGCCTGGAGCTCCAGTTCCCAGGCTCCACATGGGCTTGGAAACGGCCCAGCCAGCCAGTCATCTGCTACACAGACCCCACCTGCTCCAGCTAGCCCACCTCTGTACTACTTTTGGGTTTTTTCCTAAGCCAGGTGTCCCAAACTCTTTATTGTCTTGGTTCTATTTACAGCCATAATCAATTTCTCTGCCTGCCTGACTGAGGTGCTTTTCTGTTTTCAGCACAGACCTGTGATCTGCTTAGGAGTGCATCAAGTTGATGAACCTCCCATCTGGCAGGGCTTTAGAGGCAACTGCTGAATAGAAAGCTAGGAAAGGACTTTTGTAGATAAAGACTCCATTCCAACCCTCTCAGGGCTTCCTACATCTAAAATTTTTCCTGAAAGCAAGGAGAAGGAACCAGTATACTTGGGAAGAACCAATCGACCTATTCCTGGGACTACATGGCACTGATTATATGGTAGGACTTCTGAGTTCACTGTCCTCTTCTGAGTCCTTGACTCAGAGTTCTCCGACTGCAGATTAGGTAAATGTCTGCAAGCTCAGCATTCACAGTATGTGCAAGCTGTGAGATGTTAGATTTGGCTAGATCTGGAGATGGGTGGGTCCATCCTGGCCTTTGCACTATTCCTGGTTAAGGAAGAGCAGAACAATTCCAGAGTAGCTTTGGCATTCTGCATCTCGATGAGGTGGCTGTGCTCTGCCCTAGAGCTCCTGGTCCTTTAGCCTGAGACTAGATGGGGAGAGGAAAAGTCACCTGCCATTCCCCCTTCCCCATGGGGTAGGCTAGAACCCACCTACCATCCAGGATAAGCAGGAAGGAGCAGTACCCTCTCCTTCTCTGTCTCATCTCGCTCACCCAGCAATAGCAGCTTGACGGTCTTGGCTTCCTTGTCAGCATCCTCCTGCAGCTTCTTTTCTAGCTCCTTGGACCTCTTGGCCAGTTCTTTGTCCTCAGCACTGGCTCCACTCCCCATCTTTCTGCCGTCTCCTTCTCAGCTGCTTCTTCCAGCCCTTAAGATTCTTCTGTAGGTTTTCCTATCTGTGAGATGGAAGATAAGGAAAAAGTAAATTGGGATTGAGTATCAGTTTCTTAGTCCTCCTAAAAAGCTAGTCTATAGGAGGCTGGGTGAGGGAGCACGCTAGGTTCTTGTACCCTGCTTGTCTTGGCTGTGACTCCCTACCCCAGCTGGAGACCTACTTAGTCTAGGGATTGTAACCTTTATATCTAGCAATGTGATGGGTCAAGCCAATTAAGAGCTCAGTATGACAAAGGGTAAAGACTCAAGTGTTTCTGTAACTAGGGGAATGATCTGTGTAACTAGGGATTCTCATACAGGAGGATAGGATGAGGGTACTGGAGCTCTCTGGAATAAGATAATCTCTGCCTCATCCTTTTGAGGGGCGATCCCTTAAAAGTCTCTTCCTTCCTTGAATTCACTTGCAATTTAGAGCTAGAGATTAGAGGCACAAATGTAGGAAGATCTCCCCACGCTGAAATTCCAGATTATAGAGTCTTAGATTCAAGGGCTTCAAGGCATCAAACACACTGTATCTTAGCAGGCTGCTCCTGGCAAGCAATTTTTTGGGGGTGGTGCCCTTTCTTGGGAAGATTAGTAATCTTTCCTTCAGTTCCTCCAGTGGCCACTGCACCAGGAAGCTACTAGCATTGTTCCTTTATGTTGGCTCATCTCTGTGCATCCTTCTGTTATTAGCATTGTCACTTCATACTGTACTTTGTTTTACAAATGGGTTTCCCCCAGACTGAATTCCTCCCCCTGGAATCTGATTCTGATCTTGAATTTGATTCATCTTCTAATAACTCAGACCTTGTGGTTTATTAGTAGATCCTCAAGGTTTAGTGAATGGATGAGGGAAGAAAGAAGGGTATGTGAGAGAAGGGGGCTGCTTCCCCTCGACCCACTAAAGCCACCTGAGGCCCAATTTCACTTGGTGAGCGAAGTTTGCTGGAATTTAGTGTAGGAGTTGTGCTGTCTCAGGTAACAGACTGCTTCCTTGGGAAACTGGCCTCTGGTCTCTGGCTTCTAAAAGGTTAGGGCAGCCCTCCCTCTGGCCCTCATCCCACTGCCCTCCTGGGGAGAAATGAGAGTGCAGTCTAGCAACTGCCTTACAGACATGCTCGTATTTCTCTATGCCAGTTATTTCAATTTAGTTAAATGGGTCTCTGGTGGAGCCTCCTCAGAAGGGGATGCTTTAGAACTTTGCTACCCAAAATGTGGTGCAAGGCCCAGCACGGATCACCTGGGAGCTTGTTAGAAATACAGAATCTCGAGCCTTAACCTGGACCTTCTGATATAGAACCTGCATTTTAACAGGACTGCAGGTAACTCTAAGGTCATTAAACATTGGGAAGCACTGCCCTGGGGAGTACTAGGGAACTGTTTTTCCTCACACTTGTCTAATCGTAAGAATCATCTGGGATGCTTGCTTCTGTATTACATCAAGTCTTAGATGCCACTGATGGGACGATCACTCTGATTTCAAAGATGTTAAAATATATATGTTTTTAAAAGAATGTGTTTTCAAATCAGTAAGTTATGGTAATAGTGCTAATTCCAGAGCCTGAGACACTGTATTTTAAATTAATATATGTGATTATCATCATCTGGCAAGTTTGAAAAACCCTGATCTAGAACAGTGGTTCTCAACTTCTGGTGTACATTGGAATTTACCTAGAGAGCTTTTAAAAAATATTGATTTAATTGGCCTACTGCAGTCTAGGCAGGAAGAGTTTTAAATTTCCCCAGGTGATTCTAATGTGCAGGCAAGGTAGAGAACCACTGAGCTCAAAGGATTTAACTTGCTCTTTCCTTTTAGAGTGGAAGTGTGCAGCAGTGGCCAGCTGGACTGAGAAAGTGGGAGGTAAAACCTACGTCTCCCACCTACCAGGTACCCTGAGCCGTTGCTGATCATCTTCCTCCTTCCCACCACCTTTCAGTTGCATATCTGGGTATCTGGCTGAGAAGCCTGGGGCCTGGAGCCCAGAGTCTCAGGGTTGATGGAGAAATGGGCAGCCAACAAGGGGCCTTCCATGGTGATCATGTTTTCCCAGTGAAAAAGTGGCAAGTGCCTATTGACTTAAGGGAAAATAGGAGAGTATCTTTGAAATTGTGACTGTCTTGAAATCTTAGCTATAAGGTTTCAATAATTATACCTCACCAGCCCTGCCCTAGCCTACACACAATATTGGTAAGTTACACTAGGCCAGAGCTGTGCTGAAGCCTGCACCATTCAGAGCAAGGGACTGCCAGGAACTGTGCTAGTCAGTTGATGTGGCTCATATCAGTTAATTCTCATGCTAACTTCAAGGTAAGTACTCTTGTCCCCAGTTTACAGACCAGATAACTGAGACTTGAGGGTTAAGCGACTTGTTCAAGATCAGATAGCTTAGTTAGACAAACCAGGTGATCTTTCCTTTCACTACCCCCACAGAAGTAGCCAGTGAGAGGACACTTGGGCAAAAAAGATAGGCAAGTGCCTGAGCTCCCTAACGGCAGCACTTGCATTGTCAGAGGAACCACTCACTTGTTTCACACGTGGGGAAAACGTTTGTGCTGCTTCCTTTTTCAGCTGCCACCTCCGCAAGCTTCTGTGCTGCATCTGCTTGTTTCCTAGCTTGCTGGGCTCCCCATTCCCACTACTAAGCTGAGTAAGGGAACTCCTGGCCCTTGCCTGGTCTCTGATTGCTCAGACCCACCACTATGCATGGACCATTCTGATGCCAGCGACCTCCTGCCTCCTGTTGTCAACTCTTGTGCCTTTCCTGTAACTGTTCTACTTATTATCACATTTGACTTCAGTGTCCTGGTGTAGTAGATAAAGCATATAGGCGCTATTCCCATTTTAGAGGTGAATGAACAGAAAGGCAATCCTCATATTAATAAACAAGTTAGTATCAGAATCAGCTAGAGCACAGGTGTCCTAGTTCACAGCCCTTATAACCAAGTCATATTGAGTGAAAAAAAAATCACCATTTCCCAATGAATTTGGTCCTGTTTCCTGAGTTAAGGAGATATCTCAGGATCTGTCTTACACCCAGTGGTAGGGATTGTGGGTAAAGCCTTATTGCAGCTGGAGTGAGGGGGACATGAAGAATGAGGAACTACCTTCAGGACCTTCCAGGCCAAAGGAAGAGGTGGGATAAATTCACAAAGAAACAGTTTAATTCAAGAACACTGTGCTAGTGCTGGAGAATTCAGAGCTGTTTAAAACCTAGCCTTGGGGCCGGCCCAGTAGCCTAGGGGTTAAGTTCATGCTCAGCTTCAGGGGCCCGGGGTTTGCCATGGACCTATGCACTGCTTATGAAGCCACGCTGTGGCAGGCATCCCACATATAAAATAGAGGAAGATGGGCACAGATGTTAGCTCAGGGCTAATCTTCCAAAAAAAAGTAAATAAAACCTAGCCTCCAGCCCTGCTAGGAAAGACAATTATACACACATCTAACTGTCAGACTGATAAACTATAGTAGAAGAGAGGAGGGAGCAATTGTAAAATGAACAGACTTTCATCAGAGAAGCAGAACAACAAGAGAAATGGAGGATAGGCATTTTGGGGAGAGGAAAGAGCATGAGAAACGGCTTGGAGGCATGAGGACAGTGTGCTCACAGAAGGCTGGGACTACAGTGAAAGGTGTGCATGGAGGAGAAGGCTGGGAGATGAGGACAGGAAAGAAAAATTGGGACTGGCCAGCAAAAGATCTTGAATCATAAAGGATTTAGCTAAAACCCATTGAAGACTTATAAATAAGTACAGATGGATACAGCTGCACGGTGCTATAAACGATGCTAGGTGACTGGGGGTACAGGGGGCTGGCTGCTGGGACAAGCTGAGCAAGGATCTTTTGGAGGCTGTGGGTGTGTTCTCCCTCAAGTGCTATCTGCAGAAAGTCGTCTGGCCTAGAGGCTGACATCTCAAGCAAGCTGCAGGCCTGAAGCGAAGAGAAGCAGTTCTTCAGAGACTTGAGTGCATCATCAGTGGGGGCCTGGGGTTCAGGGAGGGCCGTCTAAGGAACCATCTGGCTAGTAGGCTAGGAGGGGAGGAAGCTATGTTTAGAGCTAGGGAAGATCCCAGAGGCTCAAAGACGACATTAAGCCCTTAACATGAAAAAAGCCATAGGGAATGACTCACTCCTTCATTTCCCAGACTCTGTTCTGCAGAGACAATGAAGCCCCACTGAGATTCTTGCTGGTGTGTAGGTGAGGAGATTGATGCTTGGCTGTAACCGGGCCAGACTTCCTAGCAGGGACAGCATACCAAAGGGCCTGCAAATAGCAGAGGGTTACAGGGTGAAGGGTGTGTTGCAGATGGGACTATGGGACTTGGCAGGAGTATGAAGGGACTAGTGAACTGGTTTGCCTGGGTAGGGTGGAGGGCAGGATTGCCACCTATGGGCTGGCTAGGTAGGTCTGGATTGAGGGGGAATCCTAAAGAGACCTGGCCCAATGCAAGATACTACCCCTTAAAACTATGTCAAAATTTGCATTTTATCAGAATATAGGTGATATTCTACATGGTTACCTGGTACATGTTTTTTAATTTTGAGATTTATTTTATCATTCATTGTTGAGAGCCCAACGGCCTCAAAATTCTGAAGGGCTCCAAGACCAATGTAGTCTGGGGTTAAGACCCAGAAGAGTCTGTTAGGGGTGGGGTGTGAAGGCGATTACAGATTTTTACAGGCTTTTTTTGTTTTCCATTCCCTTGATTATAAAAGTAATGGATATGCATTGTAGATCACTTTTTAAATGCAGATAAGTATAAAGAAGAAAATAAATATAACCCATAATTCCACCACTCACAGAAATCACTTTTAAACTTTTTGGTGTGTTTATTTCAATGCATATATGTCACATAATTAGGGCCATAATGTATGTACAGATTTCTGCATCCATTTTTTCTCCTAACTTTACATTGTAAACATTTCCACCTCATTAAGAGATTCTCCAAGAACAATTTTTAATAGCTGTATTTCATTGTATGCGTCTGACATAATTTAAACATTTCCCCTATTGGACCTTTAAGTTTCCAACCTTTCTGTGTGATAAACATTGCAGTGATGGACAAATTTGTGCATATTTTTCTGTCAGCTCTTCTTATTTATTTTTTTGAGGAAGATTAGCCCTTAGCTAACTCTGCCAGTCCTCCTCTTTTTTGCTGAGAAAGCCTGGCCCTGAGCTAACATCTGTGCCCATCTTCCTCTACTTTATATGTGGGACGCTTACCACAGCATGGCTTGCCAAGCGGTGCCATGTCCGCACCCGGGATCTGAACCGGCGAAGCCCTGGGCTGCCAAAGCGGAACGTGCGAACTTAACCACTGCACCACCGGGCTGGCCCCTGTCAGCTCTTTTTAGAAGAACAATTTCCTGCAAGTGGAATTACTGGGTCAAATAATATGAACCTTTTAAAGATTCTTGATTATATATTATCAAATGACTTTCAGAAAGATTATATCAATGTTTATGCCCGCCAGTAGTATATGTGTGTGTCCCACCTCACTAACTACACCCTTGCCTATATTAGGATTTTTTCCCCTTAGTCGTTGCTAATTTGATGGGCAAACGTGGTATCTCCTTGTTCTCTTTTCAGTCTCTGATGCTTTGTGAGGTGAACTTTTCCCCCACGGTTATGGAGGCCATGGTTTTTGAGTTTGTCCAGGGTGAGGAGCAGTAGGCAGGGATCAATGGAGGTGGCACCAGGTGCAGGTAGAGAATAGGGTTCAGGGTCCAGAATCGAGCCTGCGGAGGGCAGAGTTTGGGAAGGAATTTGACTATGGGGGTGGTGAGAACTAGACAAACAGCATTAGTACAACTGGGTGTGGGGGACAAAGGGCTCCCACAAGGTGGGGAGATAGGAAAAAAGACTAATTGCTGCTAATAATTATGTTCAGTGAAGTCTTAGGGACTTTCCCCCACAAGTTCTCTTTAGGTGGGATTCTCTGCCACTTGGGAGTGAGGGTGCTGGTTGGCTGAGGTGTCTGCAGTCCCCAAAACACCCCAACTCCAGTTCTTTACAGGCTGCAAGGTGAATCAACCTGTGACCCTGTCAATAGGGAACCAAGGCCAAGGACATAGCAATGATAATACATGAACATTAACTGAGCAGTAACTACAGGCCAGGCACTGTTCTAAGCCCTCATCTTAGTTCGTCTATCCTAACAACCACCACATAAAGCAGGGTCTCTGACACTCATTTTACAGAAGAAAGAGAAGCACAGAGAAGTTCAGTAACTTTCCCAGCATCAGTCAGGAAGTAGGTGGAGGAGTCTGGAATTGAACCCAGGCATTCTAGCTACAGAGGCTAAGCTTTTAACCAACAAAAATAGAAATAAATGTGGGAAAGGGAATTGCAGGGCACACCCAGCCTACCCACGCCTGCCAGAAGCAAACGGACGACTGAGAGTGAGAATGCCGGGGTGGACTTCGGCTAAAAGGGAATCCTAGGACAGTAATAATAGCGATGTTTTACTAGGCGCTGACTTTGTGACAGGCACCGTGCAAAACTGCGTAACGTTTAATCCTCACAACCGCTCCTTTGAGTGAGGCACGCGATTGCCCCATCGCATTTCCCTGAGGAAGAAGCTGACGTGCAAAACTTGCCCAAGACTCGGCCCGGCCGGCCGCGGAGGGGCGGCTGCCCTGGCGGCTCCGGGAAGAAGGGAAGTGGCGGGGGCGGGGCCGGCGGCCGGGGCGGGGCCTCGGGTTTGGCTGGGCCGAAGGCCGCGGAGACGCGCGGAGACGCGCGGCTTCGCCGGTGAGGTGTGGATGGGGTCGCACCTGTTGCCGGACTGCCCCACAGCCCAGCGACAAGAGTCCGGCCCCGAGTATCCAGAGAGGGTGGAGAGACGCCCAGACGAGCTCCGGCTCCCGCTCTCTGGGGAGCACGTGGCCGGCCCGCCTCTCGAGTGCCGGGCTGGGGGTCGGGACTGCGGGGTCTCCAAGGCCAGGGCAGCGGCCTGGGTAGGCTGGGGGCCGCCTCCCTCCAGCCGGCACTTTTGAAAGACTGCCTTACTTCCCCCATCTCAGGGTCAGGGCCGGGGCCCTTGGAGCGACTCGGCCGGGGTCTGGGCCGCAGCCCTCCTGTCCTCCGTCGGGACCCCGGCTTCCCGGCTGTGCATACCCTGGCTGGCAGCCTCGCCGGTGCCCCTCGGGGAGCAGGCATAATGGCCTCAGGTGAGTGTGTTGCGTGCGTTGGGGGAGGGTCTCTGGGACAGACAAGTGCAGTGGCCAGGGTGACAAGAGGATGGGGGTCTCAGCATAGCCAGCAGACCTAGGGAAGGCGGCCAGCTCCTTCTGGGGAGGACCTGGGAGAGCAGAGCCTGAGTGTGGAAAGACCGAGGGAAACGTCAGAAGACGCTGGGGTCGCTTTCCCAGACTCCCGGAGAAGCCCCTGCCTCCTGGCCTCCCCCCTTCCTAGAAGGTAGCTTCTGCCGGACAGTGGAATTTTCCCAAGACAGGCTCCTCCCTCCTGGGCTGGGATTCTCTGTTCTACCCCATCCTCCCAGACCTGGGCTACGCCTGGGGCTGGGGGTCAGATAGAGAAGAAAAAAAGAGGGCTCTGCCCCAGAGGGGCTGGGGTTTTACGGAGCACGCCTGCCCTGAGAGGCATGTGTTCTGAGCGTGGGGAAGCTCGTGCTGCATTTCCCTTTCTTATTATTTTTTTCTCCCAGGCTGGCTGGACCAGCTAGCCTGGACTTTGAGTCCCTTGACCCGGAGCCCTGGTAAGGGGCGAGGGCACTGGAGAGGGTTAATGGAGTGCCGGGGGCTGGCCCTTCCCCATCTTGTTTTCTCACCTCCACTCCAGGGCCCTGGCCCAGCTACCATCAGTCATACTCCAGGGACCGAGGAAGGGATGGGAGGGATAAGGGGTGGATATGGAGGCCCCCCTCCTCCAGGTTGCCTAGACAACCTCAGAAATCGTGGCCCGGGCCTCTTCCGCCTGCGGGGCCTCTGCTTCCTGCATCAGTCACTCCCGCTGGGGGCGGGGCGGAGGAAGGGGTTGGATGTGGCAGAGCCAGGCCCGGCTGCTGCGGCTCAGACTCCCCCCGCCGTCTCCGCGGCCCGAGCCATGGCATCCTATCCATCCGGCCCCGGCAAACCCAAGGCCAAATATCCCTTTAAGAAGCGTGCCAGCCTGCAGGCCGCCTCTGCAGTACCAGGTGAGTGTGTGCCTCCTGGCCTCCGGCACTGGCTCTGCCCCATCACCTCTCGCCCAGGCCACTGGTCCCCTCAGGGGTGGGAGTGGAGGCGCCCTTTTCCTGCACCCTCTCTGCAGTGGGGCCCCTCATCCTCGGTCCCTGGGACAGCTGACTTGGGAGGTGGTGGGGTGGAGGGTGACAGATTTTTTTGTTGGGAATGTTGTCCTCTAACGAGGATGGGCGTGGGTGTACCAAGAGGTGTGTTTGCACACGTGTCAGTGTGTGGATGTGCTAAGACTGTTTGCATGTGGAGTGTGTGTGAATGGAGTGGGGGATGTGTGGGACTGACTGGTTTGCGGACTGGACAGGCAAATTGCTGACAGCTGTGCCTTTACCAGGCAGGCTTAGGCTGTCCTCCTGCAGTGAGTTCCTTTTTCTAGAACCCCAAATCACGAACCCTCTCACTGTGGGGGAGAGGTGGAGATGCCTGACATTAGGGCACTCATGGCTGCCAGCATCCCAGGGTTGGAGTTCAGCTGTATCTATCGTTTGCTATTTTGCTCCCTCCTGGTCTGTCTTGTGAGCTTCCTCAGAATTATGAGGTGTCCTTGGGATGGAGCGTGCTAGGGCTCAGGCTGGGGCTACTGTGTGCCCCTGTACCCTTTGGTTCGGCTCCCAATCTGGTCGGCATCTCTGCACCATTTGAAGCAGGCAGCGTGGTGCGGCTGTGCCATCTCCCTGAGGGCTCCAGCTGCCTGGGTCTGTGCTTGTTGAGGGATATCTACCTGCCATCTGCTGCCCCCAGGCCTTGTGGCTAAGGAAAGACCATCCCCACTTTGGTGACTGGGTCAAGCTGGTCCTCACCGCTCGCCCTGCCCAGCCCCAGTAGCTGTTTATACCTATAGCTTGATCACCTCCTGTATTTTCTGATGCTGTTGAAGATGCTGGCCTGAGGTCTATGCCATCCAGGGGGCGTGTCCCCTGGGGCTAGATCTGTACGCCTTTGAGTGGTCACATGGTGGGAGCATCTGATACTTGTAGGTCAAAGCCTTGGGCACCTCTCTGCCTACAGAGGCAGTCTTGGCAGTGAGTGAGGGGGCTCCTGGTCAAGAGCGTAGATGGAGTGGCAAGAATCGTGGCGTTGGTGGGAGTAGCCCCCTCTGGCTTTTGGTCGACTCCCCCTGTGTGAGTCTGTGTATGGTGCTGCAGCACAGACCCTGGGAGAAGGGACCAGCAAGCAGCTGGGTCTTCTAGGCCTGGCCTCAGGTAGTGTGAAGCTTCCTCCTGTGTGTCACCTCCAATGCAGCCTGGCAGGCTCGGAGGATGGTCACCCCAGCATTTCTGTGGAGGCCCTGGGCCACCCTGCTAGGAGAGGGGTTTGAGATTAGGGCCTGTGGCTCACCCCTCCTGATGCGATACAGACCAGCCTGGAGGTCTGTGGTTGGCCTTCTGTGGAGGGGGTTAGAATTGGGGAGGAGTTGTGGAGGATCAGGGTCCTTGGGCAAGCAAGGACCTTAGGCTCTGTCTTTATCCCTTGGGGGCAGAGCAGGTCCCCATCTTTCCTTCCTCTTCCTGCTCTGCCCTTTTCAAAGTAAGAGATAACGTCACTCCCCCCCGCCACCCCCCATCTCCACCCCTGCCAAGTTCTGTTCTCTTCTCTGCCCTTCATTGCTCAGTTGCCTAGGCTGTGCTGGGCCTGAGAACCTCCCACCCTCCCCAATAGGTGGGACTACATGTGGGAAGTGTTTGGAGGGTCCCAGGAGTTCATAATCGCAGATTGTGGTGTTCCACAGAACACTTGCGGAGCCATATCTCTGTGACAGCTATGGCTACGCAGGGCAGGACCCGTTTATCACCCCACTGTAGACAGGACTTGAAACTTCCAGGAGGCAGAGACTTGCCAGTAAGTGGAACAGAATCAGACTCAAGTCCTGCAAATTCTAGTCTCCCTTCTCCCAAGCCTCTCCTGGGCAGTTTATCCTGTCCCTGATGATAGGCTTAGAACAGGAGTTGGCGGTCTAGGGGGCCATGAACCAGCCCCCTGGGCAGCAGAGAAGCTCCAACCTGAACTGAGCCACTTCCCCAACTGCCAGCCAGCTCCTCTCCCCAGCAGAAGCCCTCTCTCTCCTGAGGGAGCCCATAGTCGGGGGCCCAGAGGACAGTGGTGAGCAGACAAGGCCACTGGGCAGAGGAAGCTGGCCTGGTGCTGTTGGGTATAGAGATGAGGGCTACTGGCCCCTCCTTTCCCCACTCCTACCCTTTGGCCAGCGAAGCCCTACCCCCTCACTGTCCCCCAGGCCAGTGCATTTTAAGGAGGCTTGGCCCCTCCCTGCTAGCCTGCCTTGTCCATATCAGCCTACCCTGCTCCTCCCCCTTGGGGGCCCCACTTTGGCCTGGGCCCTGGCTTGGTAGAGGTTAAGGCCCTGTTCATTTCTGGGGTTCCTCTTATCTCCAAACTCTGATGCTCCTTCCCTTGATTTCTGGGCTCCCCTGAGCTCCTCCAGCCCCCTGCTTGCCGTCATTCCAGGGTCTCCCCTGCTTGCAGCTGCACTTGGTACAGCCCGTGCCGGCCCCTGAGCTGTCCTGGGGGACTGGCTACAGCTCCACTCCGCAAACAGGCGGGTCAGGGGCACAGGGCTGCTGGCCGGCACTGCCTGAACTCCGCAGGTAGGACCCAGGCAGGCACCAGGGCGAGTGGGGGCTGGGTCCTGGATCTGGAGCAGGCACCTTCTCTACCCTTTGTCCAGTCTTGGGACTGGACTCTGGGGTATTGGGAAGTGGGGACAGAGACTTTAAGGTGTGCTACCTGGGCAGAGCCACCAATCCGTCCCTAAGCCACAGTAGAGAGGGGAAAGGAGGGTGCTGGAAGGGCGCACCCCCCAGAGCTGGCTGGGAAGCCACGTTGGGTATGGAGCTTCCCGCTGGGAGGGTGGGGCTGGCAAGCCCAGGGAGGGTCCTTCAAGGTGGGCTGGGAGCTGAGGCAGCGCCTTTAGACTAGCAGCTTCACGGCCTTGAATGCTGGCCTCCTGGTGGTGCAGCTGAGGAGTCTGCTCTCCAGGAAGAGAGACCCTGGCTTCTGCAGCTCCCTTCCCCAGGCCCTCCCTGGGGCCTCCGGCCCAGATCCTAGGGCCTCTGAGTGGCGCAGACTGTTTGTGGCAGCTCCCTTTGGAGGGGCAGCCAGCAGTAGGAGGGGCAGGCTGGGGCTAGGCAACATCTTGGCAGCCCTGGGGTCCTGGGGGAGAGGGCAGGTCTCTGGGGAGGAGATAGGGTTCCTGCTGCCAACCAGGTCCTCCACTTCCTCTCCTCTTCCCTTGAGGGCTGGTCCCCAGATCAGAGCAGAGTGAGTGGCAGCTGTGGCTTCCCTGTGCTCTAGGTCTAGGATATCAGGTACAGGCCCTGGTCCTCTGGGAGAAGGATCTGCCAGTCCAGAGACAGGTCGGATCCGGGACTGTCTGCCCTGGAAGTTGTGGGCTGGGAATCACCAGTATGGCCACCAGCTCCTTCATGAGTGCCCAGAGTGTGTGTGTGTGTGTGTGTGTACACGCGTGTGCCTGCCTGTGGGAGGTACTCACACAAGTTTCTCATGGCCTGAAGGAGTAGCCCTTAGGCCAGGATTCAGAGTCTTATTCCTGGAGTGAGTGAGTCCACTTGTTCTAGGGGCAGACTCAGGACCCCCATGCCTGAGCCTGGAATGGGTGAGGCGTCCCGTGCTAGACTGAGGGTGAGGTCCTTTGGGAGCCACACGCAGGCTCACTCCTCAGCCTCTGAGAGGAACTGCCCACTTGCCAGGCCCTGGCCTCTCTCCGGGGCTGGCCTGGGCTTCCAGTGCGCCCAGGCCCCGCCCTCCACCCTTTGACCCTGGCATCACTGTCTTCACAGAGGCTCGGGGTGGGCTGGGGGCCCCTCCGCTGCAGTCTGCCCGATCCCTGCCAGGCCCTGCCCCCTGCCTCAAGCACTTCCCGCTTGACCTGCGCACGTCTATGGATGGCAAATGCAAGGAGATCGCCGAGGTATCGCCTGGCACCTCACCCCATGTCCCCCCACCGCTGTCCCCATGCCCTGTCTCTGCTTCCCACACCCCAGCACCTCAGCCGTCCCCTTACTTCACGCTTGGCTGTGCCCTGGTCTCCCAGCTTCTCCCAGGTACCCCCAGTTCCTGCTGCCCTCACCGCATCCCCAGACTCTGCAAGGGAGGGCCCAGGGGCTGAGGGCTAGGCCACACTGACCCTTCCTTCCCTCCCACCAGGAGCTGTTCAGCCGCTCCCTAGCTGAGAGCGAGCTCCGTAGCGCCCCGTACGAGTTCCCCGAAGAGAGCCCCATTGAGCAGCTGGAGGAGCGGCGGCAGCGGCTGGAACGGCAGATCAGCCAGGATGTCAAGTAAGCCCCTGGCCTGGCCCGGCAGGCAGCCGTGGGGTGGCGGGGCACAACCAGACAGGGTTGGAGGGCACAAGCCAGATAGTGTGGTGGGCACAGCCAGACTATATATGTGTGGGGGCACAGCTAGACAGTGTAGAGGGGGACACAGCCAGGCCGTATGTGTGTCGGGGCACAGTTAGACAGTGTGTGTGTGTGTGTGTGTGTGTGTGTGTGTGTGGGGACACAGCCAGGTAGCTGTGGGATGGTGGGGGGCACAGCCAGACAGTTGGGGGGAACACAGCCAGGCAGCCGTGGGGTAGTGAGGGGCACAGCCAGACAGCTGCAGGGTGGTGGGGGGCACAAAGTCGGGGGGCACAGCCAGATAGCTGTGGGGTAGTGAGGGGCACAGCCAGACAGTGGGGTGGGACACAGCCAGGCAGCCCTAGAGTGGTGGGGGGCACAGGCAGACAGTGTGGGGTTGCGGGGAGAGGCCCAGGGTAGTCTGCCCAGCTTCCCTCTGTGGCCACCTGGATGCTTTCAGAGCCCCATCTTTTCCCTCTCCCATCCCGTCCTCCCTTTGGGGACCACTGGGGAGGCAGCATAGAGCAGTAGTGTGAAGCACAGGCTTTGGAGTCAGGCTGCTGGGTTCTGGTTAGTAGTGGGGCCTGGAACATGTTGTTTCACTTCGCTCATCTCTAATGTGGGGCAAGAACAGCACCCACAGCGCAGGGTTCTAGAGGACTGTGAGTGACCTAACACATGCATAGTACATAGCACAGCGCAGGGACCTGGGAGCAAGGTCCTTGTCATCTGCCTGACCTCTCGCCCCTCTCACCTGTAGGCTGGAGCCGGACATCCTGCTTCGGGCCAAGCAAGATTTCCTGAAGACAGACAGTGAATCGGACCTCCAGTGAGGAGGACAGAGGGGTGTGGGGCATGCAGGGCTGGGCCTGTCCCAGTGCTGGCTCCAACCCCTACCTTGTATGCCTCCCTCGTAGGCTCTACAAGGAGCAGGGTGAGGGACAGGGCGACCGGGGCCTGCGGGAGCGCGATGTGGTGCTGGAAAGAGAATTTCAGCGGGTCACCATCTCTGGGGAGGAGAAGTGTGGAGTGAGTGTCCCAATGGGATCCCTGAGACTGGAGAGCTGGGGGCGTGGGGGGTCGGAGGGTTTTTTTCTTTCCAAAAGTTGGAGGGACAAAGGGTCTGGCTGGGAGCGAGTTGATGTGCTGGGAACAAAATGTTCTGAGTGTTTCTGGGGTCAAGGCCTCAGGGAGGAGGTGAGAGCGAGCCTGATCTGGGTCAGCAACCGAGGAGAGTGATCACATGTCCATGTCTTTAGGTACCATTCACAGACCTCCTGGACGCAGCCAAGAGTGTGGTGCGGGCTCTTTTCATCCGGGAGAAGTACATGGCCCTGTCGCTTCAAAGCTTCTGCCCCACCACCCGCCGGTACCTGCAGCAGCTGGCCGAGAAGCCTCTGGAGACGCGGACCTACGAGCAGGGCCCCGACACCCCTGTGTCCGCTGGTGGGACCCCTGTCCCTGCCCTATTCCAACTGCCCAGGAACCTCCACCCTGCCTGCTTCTTCCCACACCCAGGCTCATTCCAGCCTCTTGGTGCACGAGGGGCGGAGGCAGGAGCAGGAGCCATCCTGCTGGGGCCTTTGATGTCTCTCACCCTCTGCGGGGCCTCTGGGCTGAGCAGTGGGTGGTGGCCTGGAAGAGTCTTGCCCTGACTCCACCCTTCCCACTCCTGCAGATGCCCCGGTACACCCCCCTGCGCTGGAACAGCACCCGTATGAGCACTGTGAGCCTAGCACCATGCCTGGGGACCTGGGCTTGGGTCTGCGCATGGTGCGGGGCGTGATGCACGTCTATACCCGCAGGGAACCCGATGAGCAGTAAGAGGGGCGTGGGGTGTGCTGGGGGAAGCTGTGGGGCGGGGGGGGGTGCTGCATCTCGGAAGGGCCCATAGGGCTGGCCTTGCTCTCCTCACCCAAGCTTCCCCTACATGCCAGTTGCTCAGAGGTGGAGCTGCCATACCCTGACCTGCAGGAATTTGTGGCAGACGTCAATGTGCTGATGGCCCTGATTATCAACGGCCCCATGTGAGTCCCTGCCTGTCCCAGACCCTCCCCTTCCAGCCTCCCTGCGGGCCCTGAACCCTGCCTGGTTTTCCTCCTGCCCAGAAAGTCATTCTGCTACCGCCGGCTGCAATACCTGAGCTCCAAGTTCCAGATGCATGTGCTGCTCAACGAGATGAAGGAGCTGGCTGCCCAGAAGAAGGTGCCACACCGAGATTTCTACAACATTCGCAAGGTGGGCCCTCACCTGTGGCCCGACCCTACACCTCCGCCCAGCCGCCTCCTCAAGGGCCTGGGCCCCCCACCCAGCGTCCAGTTTGGAGAATCTTCTCCCATCCCACTGCCCAGACCGTGGACCTTCCTGGCCTCCAGTGGACCCAGGAGCCCCCTGTTCCACCCCAGGTGGACACGCACATCCATGCCTCGTCCTGCATGAACCAGAAGCATCTGCTGCGCTTCATCAAGCGGGCGATGAAGCGACACCTGGAGGAGATCGTGCACGTGGAGCAGGGCCGCGAGCAGACGCTGCGGGAGGTGTTCGAGAGCATGAATCTCACTGCCTACGACCTGAGTGTGGACACGCTCGATGTGCACGCGGTCTGTTCCAGCGGCATAGGGGCTGGGTCAGTGTGTGGGCGGGAGTTCGGGGGTAACTGGGCCTGCCCATCTCCCACAGGACAGGAACACCTTCCATCGCTTTGACAAGTTCAATGCCAAATACAACCCTATTGGGGAGTCCGTTCTCCGAGAGATCTTCATCAAGACCGACAACAGAGTTTCTGGGAAATACTTTGCTCACATCATCAAGGTGAGGAGGAGTGGCTGCCAGGGCCCACTGGGTACAGGGACAGCGTTGGCCCTGGGCAGCCCTCCCCCTGACTGAGCGAGAGCCTGGGTATCCGGGAGGCCTGCACTGGCAGGTGAGGTGGGTGGGTGGAGACATAAAGAGGTCTGACTTAGCACACAGGGTGGCTGCAAAGACAGGGATGGATGGGCAGCCTGAGTGTGACACTTGCCCCATTTGTGTCTCTCAGGAGGTCATGTCGGACCTGGAGGAGAGCAAATACCAGAATGCGGAGCTGCGGCTCTCCATCTATGGGCGCTCAAGAGACGAGTGGGACAAGCTGGCACGCTGGGCCGTGATGCACCGTGTGCACTCTCCCAATGTGCGCTGGCTCGTGCAGGTGCCCCGCCTCTTGTGAGTGTCCCTGGGAGTGGGAGGGAACATGGGGACTAGAGTTGAAGGGGCCAGGGTCTGCCTCCTGTCCTCCTGGGATGGTGACCCTCCCCCATCCCAGCTGAGCCATCTGAGTAGAAGGAAGGGTCTTCTGGTTCCACCCATGGTCTGCCCAGCCTGGCCCACCCAGTATGGTGCAAAACCACTTCTGTGACCTCGGGCCAAGCCCTGACCCTTACTGGCCTGCTGGATGTCCTCACATGGGCCCTGACCTGCATGTGCCTATCTCACCTGCAGTGATGTGTACCGTACCAAGGGCCAGCTGGCCAACTTCCAGGAGATGCTGGAGAACATCTTCCTGCCACTGTTTGAGGCCACCGTGCACCCTGCCAGCCACCCAGAGCTGCACCTCTTCTTGGAACATGTGAGGGGGCAGCACAGGGCTGGGCGTGGGGAGGACGACCTGCCTCAGGCCCAGCTGCAGCTCTGGGTCTGACCCCAGGATCCCGTGCCAGGTGGATGGCTTTGACAGTGTGGATGATGAGTCCAAGCCTGAGAACCACGTCTTCAACCTGGAGAGCCCCCTCCCTGAGGCCTGGGTGGAGGAGGACAACCCACCCTATGCCTACTACCTATACTACACCTTCGCCAACATGGCCATGCTGAACCACCTGCGCAGGTGCGTCTCTTCTCACCCTGCTATCTCTCACCTCCCCCCACACACCTTGCTGTCGGCTTGCCCTGGGCTGGGGCGGTCAGAGCCCTGACCCACCTCTTGCCCCCACGCATGGACCCTAGGGGTTCTTTCTCTGCCCTCAGGGCTCCATGGCTCATGCCTCACAGCCCGGAGTCTACCCTGCCCGCTTGTGCGGGCCCTCACAGGCAGTGGGTGGGGGCTCAGCAGCTCACACTGTCTTCATGCCCCTCAGGCAGAGGGGCTTCCACACATTTGTGCTGAGGCCGCACTGCGGGGAGGCTGGGCCCATCCACCACCTGGTGTCGGCCTTCATGTTGGCTGAGAACATCTCGCACGGGCTGCTTCTGCGCAAGGTCAGGGGCTGCACCCCCAGCCTCCCCTCCCAATTGTTCACCTTCCTCCCAACCCATCGGGCCCCTTCAGCAACTGGTCCTCCTCCTCACGCAGCCCCCAGTTAGGACCCCTCCACACCCCAGCCTCCAGACTGAGGCCCAGCTTGGATTCTGGCTGTAACTGACCCTTTGCACATCAGGCCCAGCCTGGACTCCCCCTAGTGTGGCCTGTACCCCCCAGAACCAGGTGTCCTCTCCAGCCTTGGGGCCACCTGACAGGCCCCCCATCCCCGTTGCCTGCCCAGGCCCCGGTCCTGCAGTACCTGTATTACCTGGCCCAGATAGGCATCGCCATGTCCCCGCTCAGCAACAACAGCCTCTTCCTGAGCTACCACCGGAACCCACTACCTGAGTACCTGTCCCGTGGCCTCATGGTCTCGCTGTCCACTGACGACCCCCTGCAGTTCCACTTCACCAAGGTCAGAACCTGATGGGCAGCCACGTGGGCGGGTGTCCTGGGACACAAAGGATGCCTGGACACTGGGGGGCTCAGGGCTGGTGCTGACCCCTTATGGCGGAGTCAGCATGCCACATGGCAAGTGCCACAGGGAAAGACCCTGGCAGGCCATGTGCTCCTGTTTGAGAGAACCTGGCCTGTGCAGGAGCCGCTGATGGAGGAGTACAGCATCGCCACCCAGGTGTGGAAGCTCAGCTCCTGTGACATGTGTGAGCTGGCACGCAACAGTGTGCTCATGAGCGGCTTCTCCCACAAGGTACCCCCCCGCCTGCCTGGACCGTGGCATCCCTTCTCCTTCCCTCCTCTGCATTTGGGAAGGTCCCAGGGGTCCTGGCCCTGGGATGGTTCAGGGCTGGGGTATGGCCCCTCAGAGCTGGCTGCAGCCCTGCCCGTCATCCCCACACCCTGCAGGTGAAGAGCCACTGGCTGGGACCCAACTATACCAAGGAGGGCCCCGAGGGCAACGACATCCGCCGTACCAATGTGCCGGACATCCGCGTGGGCTACCGCTACGAAACGCTGTGCCAGGAGCTGGCACTTATCACGCAGGCCATCCAGAGCGAGATGCTGGAAACCATCCCAGAGGAGATGGGTGTCACAAGCCCGGGGCCTCAGTGAGCCTGGCCCCCACAGTGCCCACTGCGTCTCAGCATCTTGGCCATGTTTTGTCCTTGGACCCCTCCCACCCTGCTCTGGTCTCTGCATGTGTCCGTTCTTCTTTGTTCTGTCCTGCATGTTTCTGACCTATATCTGTCCCTGTGCCACCCCAGTGAGAGTGGTGTCCAGGATCTGCTCTGCCCTTGTCTTGGCTCATGTGGCACCTGATGGCCCAGGTTTGAGGGCTGCCCTGCTGGTAGCCCTGTCTCAGGATCCTCTGAAGCCTAGCTGTCCACAGGGGCTAGGGATGGTTGTGGGGGGCTGGCCCCTCTAGCCCTTAGGGTCCTGCCTGGGCAAATCTGAGCTTTGGCCATGGCTTGTGTTTAGGCCCCCACCTGGTTCATGTGCCTGAGGGGCAGTCAGGGTGGAGCCTGTACATGTCTGCTGCAGGCATGGGGCTGCTGGGGGTCTGCGGGCTGCAGCAGCTCTGCATGGCTAGAGTTGGGCTGAGAGCTCAGTCATAGCCCTGGTGCCTGGAATCGGGCCTCGGAGGTGCTGGACCACCACCTCTGCCAAGTCACTGCCAGCAGCCTTCTCCGTCCTTCCTCCGGTCCACGTGCTCCTCTGGTATCAGCTTCGTGTGCTTCTGTGGGAGGGAGCAGCCACCCTGTGCCATGTCTGGGGCCACTGCAGCCGGAGGGTCCTGGATCTGCCACCAGCCCTGAGGGTGGCATTCCTGGTATGGTCCCCAGAATTTTGATCAGACCTGGACCCTGGCTGGTCCCCTGTGTTGTGTCCTGGACCGAGGCCTTTGCTGTGAAATGCAGTGTTTCATACAATCCCATCTTTCCTAGTGCATGAGAAATAAAGATTATTTAAGTAATGCGGCAGGTGGGGGTCTCTTTTGGGAAAGGGAGAGCCACGGTGGGTGGTGGCTGAGGTCGGGTCCCTCGTGAGCACTGTGGATGGAGGTACAGCGAATTCTGAGGGCAGCGACTGGGCTTGGCTGTGTGTGCTTGTGCACCTGGAAACTGACAAAGGAAGCTGTGGGAGAGAGGAGGGGCCCACCGGGGACCCATCTGCTGCCCCCAAGCCCTCATCTAGCCTTCCCCCTCTGAAGGGGACAATTTCCGCCCACTTTCAGCCTCTTGGGACAGTGTGGTAGATGTAGGAATATGCACTTACAAGCCGATCTGAGGCCACTGGTTCTCAAACTCTGGGGACATCAAGATCTTCTGGGGAGCTTATTTAAAATGCCATTTCCAGGTCCCATCCTCAGAGAGTCCAATTCAGGGGAAATCTGTCAGCTCCCTGGCAGATTCTCTTGGAAGGGGTTGGAGCAAGCCTGTGCCTTCTGAGTGCAGGCTTAGCCAACTCGGCTTCTGTCCTGTGTTTAATACACGATTTCTGGAGCAGCTCCTTGGGCACAGAGGTGGCTAGAGTCTGTTGCCCAGGTAAAGGAGGAAAGTGGAATGTGCCCTGTGCTGTGCAGAGTCCTGGGTTGGTGATAGGAGCATGTTACTGCTGCTGCTGCTGCCGCCGCTGAGTGGGGAGGATGACAGGCTGGCGGCTTCAGAAACAATTCACCCTAGAACAGCATGGGCCTATGTAGTTGAGGGCTGGTGAGGGCAAGGGAGGCTGGCCTCTCCTCCCCTCCTGTCAGCTTGCTCTGCCCGGCCCCATCTCCGGCAGGAGACTCTTGGGGAGGGGGGGCAGAGCCGCGCATCTGCTGCGTCTGTGCCAGCTCACTCCCTCCTCTCTCTGGGGCAGGACAGGACAGCGTGTCTGCACCTCCCCCAGCACCTCTGGGCAGAAGCTCTCCTGAGGGATAGTAGGCAGGCTCGCTCCTGGCCATCATCCAGGGTCCTTTGGTCTCCAGAAGGCATCTCTTGTCAGTTTGTTCTAGCCATTTACCTATCATAGAACTGAAAGTTAGAGCTGCATGATGAGCTGGAGATCGTACAATTTTGGCTGATTTCTGGTTAAGGAAATAGGCTCAGGAGGTGCAAGAGGCCCATGGCAAAACCTGGATGCCAGGGGAGCACAGGGGGCTCTGCCACCCCGTGCCGGGCCTCGTCTGTCGGCCAGAGGAATGGTGCTTTTCCAGGGTGAAGGGATCTTACTTTCAAGGAGGTGAATGTATTTAATGATCAAAATGCACTGTCTCTTCTCTTCATTTGTAAAGCAAGGAAGTGAGATTAGAAGGTCTTTCTAGAAGGTTCCTTGAAGGCAAGAACTGCCTGTCTCGTGTGCTGGCACGTAGGACAGCAAAGGACTCCATATTTCCTCATCGAATTTGTCACAGACCAGAAGCCTGCGTTCCATTTTCTTACCCCTTGTACATTCTTCTCAATGTGTGCTAAGGCCCAGCCCTCAGAATATTACCAATTTAAAGACCTCAGCAATGCCCCCCCACCCCCAGCCTGACGTTTCTTTAAACAACTTGCTTCTGGATTTTCAGTTTCTCAGAAATTTCTCTCTCAAAAATTTATTGGGAAGAAGAATTATAAAACAGTAAGGCCTTAATATTATTTCCTATGTGAAAAGAAAATAATTTTCATTAAAGAAATTTGGAAAATAGAGAAAAATGGGAAAAAGAAGAAAAGCCCGCTCATCATCTACCAATTTCAACAAATATTTGCTGATCTACTGCATGCTTGAGATATATTAATATACTTTTATATATTTATATATTCCTTTGAGCTTTTTTTAAAAAGGCATTTTTGAGTTGAGATCATATGTATATAATTGAGTGGCTTTAAAGTATTTTAACAAGTCCTTCCAAATTTCATTAAAATACTCTTTATAGGGGCCAGCCTGGTGGCATGGTGGTTAAGTTCGCACATTCTGCTTTGGTGATCGGGGGTTCGCTGGTTCGGATCCCAGGCACGGACCTACAGACTGTTTGTCAAACCATGCTGTGGCAGGTGTCCCACACATAAAATAGAGGAAGATGGGCACAGACGTTAGCTCAGGGCCAGTCTTCCTCAGCAAAAAGAGGATGATTGGCAGCAGATGTTAGCTCAGGGCTAATCTTCCTCAAAAAAAACCCCCAAATTCTTTATAATTATAAATTTTCATTACTGTTCAATGTGCTAGGTGAGCCTCACCATACCTTACCATCACAGTTCTTCTCTGTTAAGAATAACTATGGCCTAATGCGGCTGTCAGTGTTCGCTCTGGAGACAGAATACCTGGGCTTGAATTTTGGCTCCACTGCTTTCTGGTTGTGTGACTTTGGGCAAGTTACTTACCCTCTCTGTGCCTCCAGGTCCTCATCCATTTCGTGGAGATAATAATAGCACTTTCCTCACGGTTTGATTTTGGATTCATGCAGTCAATCCCATCATTGGATAAAAAGCACTAAGTGCGTGCTCAATAAATATTAGCTATTATTATCTTTGCATATAAGTCTTTACAGATTGTTCCCCTGGTCTATGCCCATGAGTGAAATGATCACGTCCAAGACATAAATTTCTTTTTGTTTTACTGCTTCTTGGTAGAAATGAATCAAAGTGTGTACCGGTGGTTAAAATCAGCCTCCCTAACCCCTTCCGCCCTTCCACCTCCTTCCTTTTTTGGGAATCACGTCCTGCGCCTCTTAGTGACCTGCTTGGGAGGTGTGGGTGGACGTCTTTGTGAAGGAGGCAGCCTCCTCCCTCCTCCTGTCGTCGGGAGCGGGGCCTCCGCCTCTCCGTGGAGAGGGGAATGACAGCGGGCTGCCGAGGTAGTTTAAAAAAATTGATCCGCTTTAAAAGGCCCCAAACAGTGCAGTGAAACAAACAAACAAACCCGCGTAGTGCAGTCTGCCCTCCGGGGCTGGTCCTGAGTGAACCTGCACCGGGACCGTCGCTTGCCAGTCACACAACATCGCGGGCTGCGCCGGGCCACCGCGCACCTGCCCCGCCCCGTTCTCCTCCGCGGCGCCCCCTCCTGGGGGAGTTGGCGGGAGCAGGGGCAGCTGGCAGTGCCGGCCAGATGGAAGGAGTGGTAGGGCTCGGTTGGGGCGACAGCGATCCTGATGTCTAAACCCTACAGCGGAACATTCGCCCCATCAAAGTGTTGCCTCATTTGTAAATGTATTTATATGAAACTCTAATAAAGCATTAAACCACATTGAATCCAACGCTGGCAAATCACTTCGATTTCAAAATGAGAATAACGTTGCCCGAATTAGGATGCCCTGGACAGTCTGGGGTGGGTGTCCTTGCGGCTGGACCTGCAAGGGCGGCCGGTGTGTCTGGAGACACGGAGGGTGGAGGCGCCGTGGCCTCTTGAGCAAACTCGTCCTAGGCAGGGGCCGGCCGCCCTTCAAAGGCCCGGGAAACGTCGGAGACCTGAAGGGAAAACTGTGGGGTCTGCAAAATACAAAAAAGACAGCGTCAAAATTGCTAAATGTTTAACTAAACACCAACAGAAAGTCATGTCAACTTTAATATTTGTTAAGTTTGGTATCCTACAAATGTCATTATATTGAAAACAATATGTAAGTTGGATTTTTGGCAAGAGTTCCAGAATATGCAGGATGATAGAAGAGAAATCCTAGCCAATAGTAAATTAAATGAGTTACTCATAGTCAAGTAATTTCAAAAGCAAATTTATAAAAATCCTTTTACATTTAAAGCAAAGAAGCGTTTTATTTAATGAGGGATGTGGGTGCATTTGAATGTTTGTCATGATAAGGGGGGGCCTCCAAGAATCGGATGCCAGGTCTGGAAAGGGCTGTAGACGGCCCTGGCCTGCAGTCCTGCTCTGGACTTGGGAGGGCCATCAGCTCAGTCTGGCCCCTTTCACCCTCCTGCCTCTCTAACTAGCTTCAGAGCACCTGCTCCTGCCACAGGCGTCTTCTCCAGATCTCTGCAAAGACCACGTGTGGCTGGGGTTTCTCTCTCCATTTTGCAGATGAGAATCTGACCTGGATTTGAAACCTGAGTTCCGTTTATTAGCTGTGCAAGTGCCCCCTCCTCCCTGACTTCCCAGGTGTGGGGGGGACACGTAAAGCAGAGAGAATACCAACCCGTACCCAGCCTTGTGTGTCCACCATGCGCTTCCATGGTGGAGTAAATACCTCCTGGGTGCCTGGCACTGGGCTGAGCACTTTACAAGTGTGAAGTGCCTAAGGACTCTGCAGAGAGCTGTCATCGTGCTCCCCTTCTTAGAGAGAGAAAGTTGAGGCACAGGAGGTTAAGTACCTTCTCCAAGGTGACCCAGGTAGCAAATGGCAGAACTGGGATTTGAACCCAGAACTGCCTGGCTGCAGAGTCCTTGTTCCTCCCACTCTACAGTGATCCCCAGGGTGGGCCTGTGATTGCTGTGTGTCTGGTGGGGTTGTCTCTGTAGGATTGTGTGCTCAGGGAAGGGACAGTGTCTGGCTCTGGAAAGCAGAGTCTGGCTGGAGATGAGGCTAGAGGTAGGAAGGCTGTGAGGAGGCCCTTGCAGTATCCTAGATGTGAGTGATGAGCACCTGGGTGGTGGGAGTGGGGATGGAGAGAAGCTTTTGAGGGGAGGCAGTTAAGACCAGTGGTTAAGACAGGGTTGGGAGCACCACTGTGCCTGGAATAGCCTGAGGAAAGATTGAGAATGTGAATGCCCTGAGGTGGGTGTGCATCCCAGTTGGCCACAAGCCCCACCTCGCCCTATTGCCATACACTGAGTTCAATCCATACATTGTGAGGGAGGTATCTGAGTTTGTGACCCCTGGGTTAAAATCACCGTCTCACAGTACAGCTCTTTCACTTCTTACTGCAAGATATTGGGCAAAATACATGAACTCTGAGCTTCAGTACTCTTATTTGTAAAATGGGAACACCAGGGTCCCCTGCACTGGTTTGTTGTGGACATTAAATACTGTATAGAAAGCTCTTAGCAGAGTGATCAGCACACAGCAA